AGCAAGAGAGCATCCTAGAGACAATAGAGTTGCAGCACATTTTTATATGTCCGTAGGAAGTTTGTCATGGGAAAATTAAAGTAGGATCAGTTATCTCCTGAATATATTTTCCTCCATCATCTCAGCAAGTCAGGCCAGGGATCCTGAAGACAGAATTTCCCTGGAGGATTTCTGTTGCTAGGAAAATAGAATCGAGGAAGAGTGGGTCTGGGGGTATTTGTAGGAAAGAAAGGTGAATGGAGGACCACTGCTGAACATAATAATGAGGCTCAGAAGAGTTGTGAAACTTGTCCAAAGTCACACAGCCAATTTATAAGAGTCAGATTAGGAAAAATCAGTGCGGCTCTGTTGTAGCATATGTTAGGGTCCTGTCAGAAAGGAGAGAGCACCTTCCAGGTGGGTAATTTGGGGAGAATATAATAAAAAGGGTACTTACTTACAAAAGTGCAGGAGGATGAGAGAACACAGGAAGAACAGAGCCTTAGCACTCTAGCTCTGGCAAGGGGAAGCTGTCTTTCCACCCCAGGCCTGAATCTTCTATCAGAACCTGGTGACAACTAGGCATGGGGCATAAATACTTTTGTCATGGCTCCACCTTCCCAATCCCTGCCCTGTTCTCCAGGGTAAAGGAACCTCCTGGGACAACATGGAGGAAGGATTTGGAATCTGTGTAAATCTTTACTCCTCTTAACAAGCCAATCTGGGCATCAAACTTCTTTTACTTACAAGGGCAAGCATCTCTGTGGTGTGGTTGGCAGGTAATTTCTCATTAACAGCAATCCTTTCTGTGACCATGTGCTACATTCATGCCCAGAATCAGGGCTGAGGGTCCCACTGGGTGCAGTGGGAGTTCAGGCTGGGAAGAGGTTCTTTACTTTCTGTGAAGCCTTTCTGMCACTTCTTATCCCCGAGGTCTGGCTAATTGCAGCTCCAGAGCTAGGCAAATGCCCACCTCTGGTCAGTGATCCCTCAAATGCCAAATGGTGCCTTTGGCCTGGAGAAAAAGGGGTACCGTGGCGCCCACGAAATCCTGGAGGCTATGGATGTCGCAGGGACAAGCGTCCAAACCGAGGGGAAAGTTCCCTTCCCTGTGCGCTGGTGAGACCCTGGTCACCACGCTTCCCCAACTCCAGTCCTTGCCACCCAGCAGGAAGGAGGCGCGAACAGAGCGCTCCCTTGCGGGCGGGTATTGGAGCGGCGGCCGCGCGGCGGAGACCAGGACGCAATGAGCTCCAAGTTGGTAACCCCAAGGGGGCCGCCTGGCTGGCTGCAGGAACCGCAAGAGGGTAGGGATTCCGGTRGCAGGAACTGAGGCAGAGGCCACTGGAGCAGGCAGCCCAGGAAATGCCTGCTTTGCGATTCCGCAGGGATCAGGAAGACCGCTAGTCGCGAGGTGGGGCTGGCGGGAAGGCTCCAGCAGCTGCTTGGTCCAACTATCCCCAGCCTAGAATGGAAGAAACTTCAAGCCGAAAGTATTGCGGGAATGTTTTGGCTCAAATTCGACATTTTACACACGTGAAATTTTAGGACCAGAGAGTGATCCGATTGGGGGGGGGGGTCACACAACAGGTTGTTAGCACCAGAACCTGGGGGAAAAGGGAAAGAAGATCGGCTGCTTTCCCGATTAGAACCCTCAGAGACCCTAGGTGTGCACCCCCTTTAGGTAATTCCGAATGGAACAAAYCCAAAATAAAACGATCCAGACAAGTATGCGAGAAATTGAATTCTCTCCGTATTTTCCGAATGCAAAAATTTTAATAAGTTTATTAAAGATCAAGTTTTCTTTCGGTTTTGGCGGTGGCGCTTTGCTGATGCCCAGGCTCCAAGGCTGGGGAAACGCCACACTGCTGAGCAACAGTTAACAGTGGAGGCGCAAACYGGGATCACAGCCAGCTTGTGTTACCAGCTCTACCCAGGTAAAGCCTCAGGTTCCCCATCTGGCGGGTGGCACCGTGGGTGAAACGGCGTTTGCCAAGGGTAGACGCAGAGCCGCCGCCGCACGTGAGGACTTAAGGGCACAGCCTGCAACTTCGGAGCGCTGTAGGAGGACCTGCGGGTGGGCAAAAGGACCAAAGTGTCGGGTCGGGAGCCAGATCCTGCTCCCACACCGCTGTCCAGGGCCTGGCTCACCAGCCGACCTTAGACTGCAGAGGCCCCAAAGCGTGGCGCTCACCACCAACCACCTGGTTGTTAGAAGCAGTGAGGATTGAAGGGGCGCCGGATGGGCCCAGGCAGAGACTTAGCTCTGGGGCGCGGAGCTCCGCTGAGCACTCGGCGCAATTTCCGACGCCCACGACTTTGCTTCCACTCCCTGCCTTTCTCCCTCCACCCCCGGAAAAAAGAAACCCCAAATATATCCGGCGGCCTTGATTTGTAATCACTCAAAGGGCTWGGCTTAACCCACAGGACAGAGACCATTTTTATTCACACCCAATCAGGCCTGAAGCTAGCCACATGGGAGCTACAACTCCCTGAATACATACAAATGAGTAACTTTATTTCCCGCCTAAATAATGTTAATCTGAAAATACACCCTTCGGGACAGGAACATCTCCCCCACCCCATTTCAAAATATTTGGAGTAGTTCTAAGAAATATTTGCGTTAATGTTTAAAAGTTTAAAATAAACTAATAATAAATTAATTAAGTAAAAAATTAAGGGCGATTAGATCACTTCCAAAAAAWWTTTTTTTAAAAAAAGTTCCAGGGAGAAGAGGAAAAAATTGAGCAGTTCTAGCTGCGGATATAAAGGGTGGAGGAGAAACCTAACCTCTAAATTATTTCCCCTTCAACAATTTTGCAGGAAAAATGTCTTGGACTTAACTTAGTTACAAAGAGATCACGCGGAGCCCAACGGGGGCTCGTGGGTCGCGTGGTCCGAATCCTCCTCTGGTCACAGTTGTCGTTCGTGCACATTTTCGAGCCCGAGATGCTAAAGTCAAACTGGCCTTCTCGGCTTGCTCCTCACCGTGGGGGAACCCGACCAGGGATGGGCTGCAGCTACTTGGGATGCTTGGAGACATTTACTCCAGGAGGGAGAGTGTCCGTGACATTTACTCCAGCGGCTGGTCCGTCATAGAGCGGTAGAGACACCAGGGTTAGGTCTGATCGGTTGTGCCCGCCTGCACCAACAGTGAATTCCAGCGTGGGCGGCGGCTCTCGTAGGTCACCTAGTGGGCAACACTCAGCCACTGGGCCAAGCTGGGGTTGGAGTCAGAAGGAGCGTTCTGTCCCGGAACTGCGGGCAGCCGGGCGTTGGAGGCCAGCTGGTCCCGCAGAGGCACTGTTGCAGGCATCAAAAACTTCCTGAACACCACCGCGATGAACTTGACAATCTCGAACTTCCTAATTCCAAATGCCTGTGCAAGAATTGAGCAAGAGTGAGGCACCTCCCGCCCGCGCTTCCCTCCAGGGAGCGGGTAGGTTGCCGTGAAGACCCGCTTCCCAGTCGGGGAAGAGAACGCGGGGTAGGGCGGCTTGGAGTAGACTTTGGCTGTTTAATAACTGCGTCTCATTTAATGGTCAACTGATTTGCTCCAAGTTGGCGCTTGAATTTAACAAAAAAGTTGGTGGCGAAAAATGACACCTAACAAGCAGTGTCATATGTCAGCCATTGTCTCCTAACTGGGGGGGGGGGGGGGGTGGTGAATGTTGACTCTAATATTTATTCAGGAAAAAGGGAAGAGAGAATATTTTCTCAAACCTAAAGTTTTCAACAAAGTCATATACAGATAAAGCCTCCCATACGTAACTCACATGTTTCTACCAGGAAACTTTAAAAATCAGACTCTATCTCCCTGTTATTTTTGCCTTCTTTCCTTTCCCCCTCCCCAACCAGCTTGGGAGGTTGGAGATTTGTCTTGAGGACAGTTTACTACGCCGATCCCAGTTCACGGGCAGGCCAGGGGAGATCACGCCTGGCCAAGAATGAGGGGGAAAGACCAGGAGGAGTGAGTTGCCAGCGATTTCCAAACAAATTTCCCCCTCAAACTTCCTAAATCTGTTCCTCTCCGGGAAGGGCCCTGTCTCTGCGTCTCTGGTGTGAGATGGGCGGTTTGGGTAGCTGGTGCCTCTCTCTCCCAGTTTTCCCTCCTCCAACCCTGACTGCAACACAGACACATCCCGAACCTGCCTAAGAAACATCTGGATGGGGACTTACGTCCCGACATCTAGGCAACTACAGCCATGGTTGGCTCCGGGGAGCGAGTGCGGAAAGGCGCGCGGGTGCGGAGCGCACCACTCAATGGAATAGGACTTCTCTCAGCGTCTGGTCACTCCAGCATCCTTCCCACCATCTGCTCCTGTCACCAGTCCCCGGCCCCGCCTCTCTAAAACCGCCCCTTGAGTCCTGCAGCCAATAACAATCCCCAACCACTCTCCACCGCCCCGAACCCTTTCCACACCCCCACGTTCCGAGAGAAGATTGGCTGTTTAGCCCTCGGCAAAGCGCCTGCATTTGCATGGTGTTCCGGGTTTCTGGTAGGTAGAACGGCCTGTCACTCCCGAAGACCGGTCCCGCCCACTCCACCTCAGTCCCCAGCTCCCTTCCTGCGCAGTTCTCCTCYGCAGCCTCTGCGGGCAAGTGCCGGGGCTGCTCTCAAGGATTAGTTCTCTGGACTGCTAAAAGGCAGCCCCGGCGAGCGGTTGTGCGCACCGTCCAGAGTGACCAGGGCGCGGGAGTGCAGCGTTCTTCTGGCCCAGCGCGGGTCATGGCACGGCAATAACAGCCCTTCTACCAGCAATTACCGCTGCTCTGACTTTCCGTTCCAGTTGCTGCTCCTCCCGGGCAACATGTCAAGAGCCGCCGCCGCTACAGCTGCCGCCGCCACCTGGGGAAGAGCAGCAGCAGCAGCAGCAGGAGTGGCAACCGCGGGTACGCGGGGGCAATAAACCGAGCAGCCCGGCTTCCAGAGGGTCAAGGGACCCTCACCGTGCTCACTGCTCCTGCCAGACCTGCGCCATGTGCTGAGCCATGTCCCTGGCCGCGCCCGCGGGCATCGCATGGGGCAGCGCCTGAGCGGCGGCCGATCCTGCCTCGATGTCCCCGGGCGGTTCCTGCCGCAGCCTCCAACGCCCCCGCCACCGGTGAGGAGGAAGCTTGCGCTGCTCTTCGCCATGCTCTGCGTCTGGCTCTACATGTTCCTGTACTCGTGCGCCGGCTCTTGCGCCGCCGCTCCCGGGCTACTGCTGTTGGGTTCGGGGTCCCGCACTGCACACGCCCCGCCAGCCCTGGCCACAGCTCCAAATGGGACGCCCCCCAGGTTGCCTTTCCGGGCACCGCCGGCCACCGCATTGGCTGCTGGCAAGGAGATGGYGGAGGGCGCCGCGAGCCTAGAAGAGCAGAGTCGCGAAACGCCTGACTCCCCCAGCTCCATCTCCAGCTTCTTTAGTGGGTCAGGGACCAAGCAGCTGCCGCAGGCCATTATCATCGGCGTGAAGAAGGGCGGCACGAGGGCCCTGTTGGAGTTCTTGCGCGTGCATCCCGACGTGCGCGCCGTGGGCGCGGAGCCCCACTTCTTCGACCGCAGCTATGACAAGGGTCTAGCCTGGTATCGGTGAGTTATTTGACGGGGCCAGGGTCACCGGCCGCGACCCAGACCATGAGGAAGGGAAACCAGGCACATGTTGGGAAGATGGTTGGGGGCACCATGGCTGGGAGGGACAGAGGATGACSGGGTAATGCAGGCTAGTAGCGTCGAGAATCCCGCCCCCGCGCGGTCCAGGTTACTCCTTGCTGGAGTCTGGCTACTACCTACAGAAACTTCTTACGGAGAACTCAGTGGTCCGTGGTGCCCTGAAAAATTACTAGGCGACTTCGTCGCAAGGAAGCGTGGCAGCGATTGAAAAGCGCTTAGGGAAGCGGGCTATCGTCTAACCCTGGCAGTGTCACCCATCAATCAATCCAGTGTTGGTAGTGTTTTTTTTTTTTTTTTCTTTTTCCTCTCCGGAGACCGGGACACTGGGAGGAGTGTTCTACGCCTCTTGGATAGCAGTCTCCTCCCTAGACCAACTTCTAGAGCCGCTTCTGCTCCCCAGATGGGGAGGGGGGTGGAGACCACGGCATCCTGCCAAGGCTGCCGAGAGTCTGTTAACTTTTTTGTTACAGTCCTTCTTGTTACCGGAACCCGAAGGGGGTCAGACCCGCCGCGCTCGCGAGCTGCTAGGGCTGGGGAGGGTGAGCTGGGCGGGTGGCTCTGCGCCTCTGCTGGCTGTGGCGCGCCGAGCGTGGAGCGGTGCTGGTCCCTGTCGGGCAAAGGCGCGCACTGCAGCCTGCCCGCCCTAGCGGCGCGCAGCTTTGAAGGAACCGGAGCGCCCCGGGCACAGCCCGTAGGTTTCCGCCTCCCAGGCCTCGGTAMAGGGACACGATCTCTGGTCTCCGCCGCCCCCGTTCAAGTCAGGGCGCAAAGAATATTCGGGCCCATTGATCAAGAAATGAGGGTTGCCTAGAAGTTGCGGCTTCCGGAAATTGTGCTCTCAAATAGAGTTGTGAGTCCAGTTCCAGAGGGACAGAGGCCCCAAGGTCATAATTACGACCTCTGCCTATTGCTTCCCTCCAGCTACTGGTCTTTTGGGGTGAGTGGTTGGGGTGGGAGACAGGCTCCAGGCTCCGGAAACCCGGTTTTCTGATTAATGGGCCCAGGCACTGGTCCTCATTCCATCTCTCTGGTCACCATCCCTCAGCCTACACTACTCCTCGAGTCTCCGGCATTTTTCCAATACCGGTTAGCTTCAAAGAGGCTGGAGACTTAAGAAAACAAAAGGGGAGAACYTAACCGAACCCCACTTCCTGTCTCCACTGCATTTCTCTGGATCTGGATAGGATGGGAGAAAAAAAAAAAAAAAACAGTGACTGACCTTAGGATTAAAACCGCTCCTTTCCCAGCCGCGTCCTCCCCCCTACTCATTGTCTTTAATGTTTTTTTATTATTGTCAGGAGTTGCCTAAGTCTAGAGATTTAGCCAGCCGTGACAGCCGCTCTTCTCACTATTTCCAAGACACCGCCTGAATTCACGTCCTGACTAGAGAACTCTGAGCCTCGGTGCTCTCATCCGTGCAGTGGGGATGATACTGGTTCTCCGCAAAGCCGGGGGAAGTGAATGCATTGGTGTAGTCAGGTGCTTGGCTGGCACTTGGGGACTCTTTAATTGTTAGCTATTGTCATTGATTGGATGTTATTTCTTCACCATAGCCACCCCCTCCTCCTCCTGGGATGGTGGTTCCGGGAGTGGAGCGGGATGGCAGGCTATAACTAGAGAGCCCTTCTAAGGTGGAGCCCAACAAAGCCGGAGGCAGCCCGGGATTTTCTGAGATCAGACACTCTTGCAGGCCGGGTTGGGAGGAACGGAAAGGAAAATAACCRAACCCTTGATGTCAGTTCTAGAAGCACCTGGAGCAGGCTGTGGAAATCCCCCACCGGGAGATTCACGAAATCTCCTAGGCGGCGGCCCTCCACCTGCCACGTTCCTTTTGATCGATTCAAAAACTCTGAATAAAGTCACGCTGGAAACCCTGGTCGCGCTCCTGCAGCCGGGAGCGCAGCCTGGGAGCTACGGGCCGGGCCGGGTCCTCGCCTGGGAGCTGCCCTGGGAGTGGCTGCATTTGGCCGAGCGGRCTAAGGCAAGTCGCCAGAGGCGCTAGGTTAATCATCCTTCCGAGCTATCTAACTAAAAAGACTGACTAGCAGGACTGTCGCAACGCGGAGGTACCATAGGAGGTACAGAGCCCGCGGCCGCGACCTGGGAGATGCAAACTGCAAGGGTTCCCTGAYTGTCCCACCAGGCGTGTCTGGCGCGGCCGCAGGGTTGGTCGTTTTTTTTTTTTTTTCTTAAAGGAAATTAAATATTTTAAATACTATCTGCTTAATTACAAATTTTAAACTAATTTAAAATATTCTGAGCAAATATGTGGACTTAACAGTTATTTTGAAGGTGACCGTTTTAACTTTAAACCCAACACCGTTAGGACGCCTGACCCAGGGTGCTATACGTTAAGAGCCAATGTTTGGGGTTCCCCCTTCGCCCTCGATGGAGTTCCCTCTCCTCGAAAAATCCCTGCTCCACCTAAGACGTGAGCTCCATTGTACCTGAGCTGTCGGTAAGCTCAGGCGGCCAATTGGAGAAGAGTATAAATAATAATTAAGCAGAAAGAAAGATGCAATTCCGAAAATGTTTTAAACAAGTCCTCAAAATGAGAATCTATGAGAAAGGGAGACATTTGAAAGGCATTTAAGACAAAAATCTATGAGCCTGGATGGTTGAGCCCAAGGGTCAGCCTCCTAATCTGTTGGAGAACCAGGTCACGGCTGTCTGAGCCGTCGTTAATGGGTTTAATGGGGTGATCCACAGCCCCGCCAGTGGCCTAACCCAGTAGCCCAGGGCCTGGACGGATTTGCATGACGTCTCGGAATTTGATTGTAGCTCCTTCCACTTGTCCTCATGAGACACTATCAGCCACATGAAGAGGGTTCATGGTTGGATGGAGACCACCGAGGTGGTAGCGCGGAGCTGACCCCGACACTGGCCAGAGAGTGGGAGTCTTTGCACTCACTGCCTAACCGCTGCAAAAATCACACGCGCTAATTCGTGCTGTCTGAGCCTGAACTCGAGTTTGTTTTAGTCTTCGATTCAGATTCTTCTGGGCTTACTTTTCCAGTTCATCATTCAGCTCTTTCGAATTAAACTCCCAAACTTARCAAGGGCTGATGAGGCCCTCATGGAATGACAGACATATGGGTGCTATATAGTGACCCTGGACTTTACCTTCAGGTCCTGGATGTGATGGTGTCTGAAAAGAGCAGGGTGTGGTTCAGGAGAACTAACCAATGCAAAAGTGGAGAAACCACTCACCCTAGATTGATTTAAACTTCAGATGGCCAAACACATATAATTTTTAAGATTTCCCTTTTCCTCTTAAGTTTTGGTAGATTTTTACGAATATTAATGACCTTAGTTTGGGGATTAACTTAGCCAAATATTCAGTGATTATTATTTATTTTACAGATATGAGCTTCATCTTGACTCCCCTTTCCATTTTTGGTTGTACAAAATAAACTGACATTTCTATGATTTGGCCAACATTAAACAAATCTGTGTGTGTGTGTGTGTGTGTGTAACATTAAATGTTTTTTTTTTTTTTTCCCAGTGTGCCAGGCACTGTTTCAAGTTTTACAGGATTAGCAATTTAATCCTCATTACAGTCCTGTGAAGTAGGCATTTTTACAGATGAGGAAACACAGGCACAGAGAGGTTAAGCAACTTGCCCAAGCTCTCACAGCTGGAAAGTGGCAAAGCTAATATACCACCCAGGCAGTCCTGCTCCAAATATTGTCCTGTGTCATGCTCCCTCACTAAGTGACTAAAACACGGTGTTAGTTATATATGTTGAGTTCAAAACTGCATTTACTTTAAGAGTTTGACAGTTTTCTGACTGCCTCYAGTGATCTCAGTGGGGATTGCTCACTTTGTCATTAACTTTATTTATTTATTTATTTTTGGTACCAGAGACTGAACCCAGAGTCCCTTAACAACTGATCTACATCCCCAGCCCCCTTTTATAATTTTTTTTTAAAGTTTTGAGATAGGGTCTCACTAACTGGATTAAGGGGGCCTTGCTAAGTTGCTATGGCTGGCTTTGAACTCGTGATCCTCCTGCCTCAGCCTCTGGAGCCACTGAGGCATGTGCCACCACACTGGCTGTCATTCACTTTAAAAGAATTTCAACTCCAAAACAAACTAGTTGGTAATATCCCAAGTTGGTATATACTAAATTGAGGATAATCACACTACTGTGACACTTTTACTTTTCTGCACAGCACAGCTAGAATCAAAGGAGTCATTAAAATGACAAAAATACCCCTCAAGTACAGAGGCTAAGAAAATAAAGTATCCTTCCTGAAGAGTAGATTTATGCTCTGCCACTTGCCCTTTTTAAGGCTGGGAAGTCTAAGAGGACATAGGTTAAGTGATGTGTTCCCAAACTCCTTGGAATCAATTTAAAAAATATATAGTGTCCCCAAATCAAGTAATTAAATTGGACTTGTTAACCAAGAGACAATTATAACTAATACTTTGAGCAGATTTCTTTAGAATGAGATTCCAAAACCCAGAAACTGCAGAAAACTCTCCCAAAGGGTAATAGCTAAAAAAAAAAAATTCCCCTATATTTTTAATTTAATGAATATTCAGAAAATGAATTTCCCCAGTCTTTTTTTCTAAAACCCGGGTGGCCAAGCCTGTTCCTGTCTTCACTGAGGGAAATGTAAGATAAGATCTTATTGGAGATAATTCCATTTTGAAATAATTGCACTTATTCATTCCTGGAGTTTAAATCAAGAATGAAACTCACTTCCAAACTGCTGGGTGAAGACCAAAGATCTACATTTATATGCAACAATTTGAAAWACAAACCATTATGTTACAAAGCTGTCAAGATTTATTAGCAAGACAGTGTAGCATGTGCTGAACTCTGTTTTTAATTAGGCACCTAAATTAGACCATAAAATGGTTGATTAATCTTTTACAAGTTGAGGGGAAAATATAACATAAATTAACCTAAT